AAATTCAAGGCATTAATGTTTGCCTACAAAACCACTGGCTCTGCACAACTTTACCTAAATTCATTACTTCAGACTTTTGTGCCAACTCGAAGCTTGCATTCTGCAAGTGAACGGCACATTATTGTGCCATCCCAAAGAGGCACAAAATCACTTTCACAGACTTTTACATTAGAAATTCCCTCCTGGTGGAATGACCTGCCCAACTCAATCCTTATCCATCTTCAAGAATCGGCTAAAATCACATCTCTTCTATCTTTGTTTGACCCTATAACTCTAGCACTCTCTATTCTAATTATATTATTTAAAAATACTTGCCCCTTTTAGACTTGTACTCTATTTATTTACTAACTGCTTGTTTTTCTTTAAAAAATAAAAAAATAACGCTAGCTTCTCTATTCTTTTTATTCTTTTTGTATTCTATTTGTTTTCTTTATATTTATTATACAATTAACAAAAAGCAAAAAAAGGCCTCTAACACTAGCTTGTTCTATTCTTTTTCTGTCCTATCTGTTTTCTTTTTATTTATTATATAATTAACAAAAAAAAAAAAAACCTTGCTACGTGTACTGCGTTAGGCTGAGACTTGTTATATCACTTGCATATCATTACTCTTTTGCTAATTTTGATTGCTTCTATTGTCTTCATTTGTAATTAGGTTTGGATAAAAGCGTCTGCTAAATGTCTAAATGTAAATGTAAATGTAATTTCTACATTAATTTGCAGAGTTAGTGTGAAATTATTACAATATAAAGATATTAATATGCGATATATCACAATTAATTACAGAAATTAATATGTATCATATCATATATATATACCCAATTATTTGGGCCCCTAGATGCAACAAAAAGTCTTTGGATGGAACATGCTTGTTTTATCATTTATCGACCGCTGTTGCTCAATGGAGACTCTGGGCTGTATCTGGCACATTTATCAGAAAATACTTATTCTTTAAACTTTTGCCCACAAAAGAGATACATGCAAAAACAAATACATAATACCACAAAATGAGCACAGATCCTTTTCAGGAAATATGTTTTTTTTTTGTATAAATATTGAAAGAGTTGGAATTTCAGTGGTGAAGTCATGCAACCATGGTGTAGTTTGTTTATTACCTACATATAGCATTTTATTTCTGCCAGTTGTATTTATGCTTAAAAATTAATTGGTGTAAATTATTTTGATGAACAAAAGTAAGAATATTTTTTTCTGCAGTAAACCAAATCCAATAGAACATCTCTATTGACTTTTTGTGATACTAAATACTGTGTTGGCGTACAAAACCACATTACATTGTATCATGGTTCTATTTAGCTAACAACCACTTTCTCTATCACAGATAGTATCAGATCTCGCCCATGTGTCCTGCAAGTGTCATGGCGTGTCCGGCTCTTGCAGCCTTAAAACGTGCTGGTTGCAACTTGCTGATTTCCGCAAGGTGGGTGACGCACTGAAGGAGAAATACGACAGCGCCGCTGCCATGAGGCTGAACAGCCGCGGGAAGCTTGTTCAAGTTCACTCCAAATTTAACTCTCCTACCAGCAATGACCTGGTGTACATCGACCCCAGTCCAGATTACTGCGTAGAGAACAAAACTACCGGCTCTTTAGGAACTCAAGGTCGCCTCTGTAACAAGACGTCCGAAGGCATGGATGGCTGCGCACTCATGTGTTGCGGTCGAGGTTACGATCAGTACAAGACACAGCTGGTTGAGCGTTGCCACTGCAAGTTTCACTGGTGCTGCTACGTCAAATGCAAGCACTGTTCACGAACAGTTGACCAGTTTGTGTGCAAGTAGTAGCACGAGGCACGTAATGAGAGCATGTGAAAGAAGATGAGAAGGAAAAACTAAAATTATTTTTATAGAGCTGAAATCATTATGAGACTGATTGGTTTCTTGCTATCAGTTTCTAAGTACTAGGTACAAGACATCTAAACTGCAAATATCATTATATATTTATTTTTTGATAAATTTGATTTTGAAATACTCTGATATGCAATATAAATGAAAACAGCCTGGATACAGAGTCTTTCAGTCTGGGCATCGTACTGTACATTCAGATGAGAAACCACGCTGCAAAAAAATAAAAAATACTTTCCCTGTAAAATATGTCAACTTCATTAAAACCAGATCATTGTATTTGAGAATAAGACTTGTTTTGAGAAAATGTCTTAAATTGCCAGTGGTTTCTATTATTACTCATTTGACGCTTATAAAACAAAATTAATCTATTTGCTAATGGGTTAAGATATATACATTTGATTCACAATATATTCTATGAAAACAAGTTTTATCTTACATAATTTTACTTTTCTAGTAAAAGTATCTTGATTTAGAAAGAACAAGATAATAAAGAAATACAGTTGAATTAGGTTAGATCAGGTTAGGGAGATATAAACAGTGTGCAGCGGTGGGGCATCTTCAGGACATACGTGAGTTAACTGCATAAGAAAACATGCGTATTTACTGTGTAATTACCACTGTGTTCTTTAGTCTGACATCATCTCACACTTTGTGGATTTGCATTCAAAATCTAACAGATTTTATGCAACAGGTTTTCTACAGTAAACAATATCATTTCTGTACAATACCTTCACATTTTTGTGCAGTCACTGTAAATAAAGTCATTAAAGAGAATTTATGTTTGCGTCTATTCATCCACCCCAGCTCCACCTTCACGTGTAGTTATGGTAACACTTTACAATAAAGGTACATTAATAATCATGTACTAATATTGAATTAATATTGACTTTAACATGAACTCATGATTAGTGAATACTAATGAGCTAATCATGAACCTGTGAAGAGCTATGCTTAGCCACAACTGGAGTCACAAGGATTTATGCATGAATAATGGCAGCCTTAACTACATGTTAGTACATGTTGTATAGTTAATGCATTAATTATCAAACAGTCTCTAAATGAAGTTTGTTAAATAAATGTAAACAATTTAAAATGGTCATAATATAATTATTTTCATTGATCCTCCTTATCAAATATAGAAAATACTATAAAAGGGGGCAAAGGGAGTCACATGAACAAGACATGAATCATGACTCTAAGTGCATTTGACTTGGAGTGGCATCCTTTGATGTCATACACTGAATGTTCTGCACAGCACCGATTCAAGTCGAACACACTGTATTGTAATTTGGGGGGGGGGGGTTCAGATGGAAAAACACTGTAAATATTAGAAAAGGGCTTTTAAATTATAGACTGCTATCAGATAGTACACCCTGGTTCTTAACTGACAATGGAGACCAGACAGAACAACCATCAAGAGTTAGATATTCTTGGTTATTATGTGTGGAGGTTTTGGGTAACTCTGAATTTCTGAATTTAGCAGTAGGAAGACAGTTTTTTTTTCATTACATCTATGCAATCTATTAGCTTTGTGAAGTGGTGCGTTTAGTCAGAATTATAGAGCTGATCCTTGCGGCACTCAATACTGAACTTGTGATCGACCTGATACCTCTGTATTTACTGCTACAAAGTGATAACAGTCAGAGAAGTACGATTTAAACCATTTCAATGCAATTCAATTATGCTAACATAATTTTTAAACCTATGCAAGAGAATGTTGTGGTAAATAGTATCAAAGGCAGCACTAAGGTTGACTAGTACTAATAGGGAGATGCAACCATGATGAGATAAGAGTAGGTTCAGTGATATGAATTCTAAAAATAAATAAATAAAATTAACGTTTTGAAGATACAACTTTTTCAAAAACTTTTGTCAGAAAAGGGAGATTTGGGATAAGTCTGTAATTAACTAGCTTTCCTTTTTAATGAGAGGCAGCCAGCTTCAATGTTTTTGGGACATGCTCTAATTACAATGATGAATTAATACAATTTTGTAAGTAAATTAATTCATAAAATCATTACTGATGTGGTGTTGGGGTTTTTGTTATAGACAAATAAGCGGGCCTAGCAGTTTTTAGGCCTTTCTGTAGATAGAAACACTATCCTTCCACACAATGCAAAATACCTCTAGTTTAGTTTTCTGCCCTCTATACTCCATTTTCCAGGCTGCTCTCTTAAAGGCCTGAGACTGTTCATTATACCACAGTATTGTGCTGTTTATCTTCCTTAAGTGCAAAGGATATCAAGGGTATGTGATATCTGATATCTGGAATTTAGTATGTATAAAAATGCCAATCCTTAATCTTTTTCATAATCAATGAGGATGTTAAAATCAGCAACTAAAATGACCCAGGCCTGGTCCTCTCTCGTCCTTCACTGTCATCATCCTTTTATCCTTCTGGAGCTCCTCCATGGGACTCGAGAGCAGTGCGTGCACTTCACGTTGTGCCTAAGAACATCCTTCAGTCGTGACTTACATATACAATCAACAATTCATAATTAAAGACATTGTTATCAACCATCGCAAAATAAGAATAGGGTTTCCAGAGTATCTTTACCATGGTTAAGAAGACATTTTATGAACATCCATTCCTCGAACATCCCATCCAAATACTGCTGCTCCTGAATAGTTAACAGGAGCTCCATTTGCAATACCTGTACTATCAGCATTAGTGATTGTAAGGCACAAAACATCAAAGTGTTGATTAGGTTAAAATAATACTCCTGTTCCTGCAAAGAACTCCAAACTGCAATCATAATACACGTGATTCTAATTTGCTTCATTCTGATCTAGTCAGTTAGCAGTTCATGGTTGGTTAAACATGAGTCAGCAGTCAGAGAAAAATAAATAATAAAATGAACAGCCCAACTTGTTAAGTGGCCGTCACGTGCCAAAAGTATGAATGACTCCAAACAGAAGACTCATGAGTTGAACTAATAATTCCGGTTCATAGCCAGTGCAGTGTCATGTGATAAAAGAATCAATGACTGGGTCAGGATGGCCCACAGCTGTGCAGCAAGACTTTAATCATTTCTTATAATTTGGCTCCAACAGACCCCTCACCCAACAACAAAACTAGGTGCCAAGGTGTCTATGAACTACCCCCTAAACCACAACTAATACCCATATACAGAACGAGCCTCTGGCTACCAAAGATAAATCATCAAAATAAGACTGTTTTACAACCCAAAATAATTTAGAGGGAGTTTCCCTCTCACTTTATTCACTAGTGAAACAGACATGATGCCCATACAAAAATACTTCTCTCCTTTATTTCAAAGGCAAACCTTTCTACGGATGAACATATATATATCCCCAGGACGTTGTGTATTGTTACTGGTTTGTATATTGTCTTTTGATTTGTATTCTGTTTATGCATGCCTTTTGATAGAATTATTAGACAATGTTAAATTATTTGTACCATGTTTTATGTCAGAATATATCTTGTGTAAGTCCATACACATTGGTGTATATCACTTCTTCCTCACTGCATACTTATATTCATTTGATTATAAATTGCCAAAAGAAAACCTGGCTGCCCACTCTGATCATGCAAATGAGTCAGCTTCCTAACAAATAAACATTTTCCTGCTCGAAATTACACCTTTGGCATTGGTTAAGCCAAACTCAAGAGGTGTCTCCTCTGCAGAAGGTAAAAGCCACTATCTCCAGACGCCAAGTGGAGGAAGAAGTTAGAGAGAAGTAGAGATATTCGGTCAGACCGCAAAACACCAAACACCCATGTTGCAAACCTTCCACTCGAGGACTCTCCTGATAACAGAATGACATTTATGAAGTTTGTCATTCTCCCCTCAACTTGTTCGCAACTTCACCACCACCAGCACTTCAAGCACATCTCAACACAGTAAACATAAGTATAAAATTACACTGGATGTTCACTGGATGAACAGAATAGATTATTGAAATATTATTTGGAGGGGGTTGAAAATCCGTGTTGCCCAGCGACAGCCCCAAAACATTACTGCTCTTGAGGAATGGGCCAAAATACCAGCAACTGTGTGTGAAAACCTTGTGAAGACTTACAGAAAATGTTTGACCTCTGTCATTGCCAACAAAGTGTATATAACAAAGTATTGAGATGAAATTTTGTTATTGACCAAATACTTATTTTCCACCATAATTTGCAAATAAATTCTTTAAAAATCCTACAATGTGATTTTCTGGATTTTTTTTTCTCATTTTGTCTCTCATAGTTGAGGTATACCTATGATGAAAATTACAGGCCTCTCTCATCTTTTTAAGTGGGAGAACTTGCACAATTGGTGGCTGACTAAATACTTTTTTGCCCCACTGTATATATATATAATTGTGTGTGTAGTCCCCTCCTGCTTCAAATGTTCCACCATCATGCCTGTACCCAAGAAACCAAAAGTCACAGGACTTAATGACTACAGAACTGTTGCTTTAATATCTGTGGTCATGAAGTCATTTGAGAGACTGGTGTTGGCCTACTTGAAGGACATTACTGGACCCTTGCAGTTTGCTTACCGAGCAAACAGGTCTGTGGATGATGCAGTCAATATGGGACTGCACTACATCCTCCAACATCTGGACAAACCAGGGACTTATACAAGGATCTTGTTTGTGGACTTCAGCTCTGCTTTCAACACCATCATCCCGGACACCCTTCAGAATAAACTGACACAGCTCTCTGTACCCACCTCCATCTGTCAGTGGATCACCAGCTTTCTGACAGACAGGCAGCAGCTAGTGAGGCTGGGAAAACTTACATCCAACACTCGCACCATCAGCACCGGAGCTCCTCAGGGCTGTGTGCTCTCCCCACTGCTCTTCTCCATCTACACCTATGACTGCACCTCTAAAGACCCCTCTGTCAAACTCCTGAAGTTTGCAGATGACACTACAGTCATCGGTCATCATCCAGGATGGCGACGAGTCTGCTTACAGACAAGAGGTTGAGCAGCTGGCTGTCTGGTGCAGTCACAAAATCCTGGAGCTGAACACGCTTAAAACAGTGGAGATGATAGTGGACTTCAGTAGAAACCCCCCTTCCCCCCCTTCTCACTATCATGGACAGCACTGTGGCTGCAGTGGAGGCATTCAGGTTCCTGGGCCCAACCATCTCTCAGGCAGTGGGGTATAAAGTACCTTAAAGCCATACTCAAGTAAAAGTACAGATATCCTACCAGAAAATGACTTTGGTAGAAGTTGAAGTAACCATTTAGAATATTACTCAAGTAAAAGTACAGATATCCTACCAGAAAATGACTTTGGTAGAAGTTGAAGTAACCATTTAGAATATTACTCAAGTAAAAGTACAGATATCCTACCAGAAAATGACTTTGGTAGAAGTTGAAGTAACCATTTAGAATATTACTCAAGTAAAAGTCTTAAAGTATGTGATATTTATTGTACTTAAGTACGAAAAGTATTTTTTAAAATCTTAAACATACTTAAGTATTGAAAGTAAAAGTACAAGTAAATGCAAAATGGAAAAGAAGCAAATAAATATATATAAAAAAAATGTTCATACACAGCTTGAGTAGCAAGCTTGTGTTCAGTTTTAACTCTTTCTTCCATTTTGTATTTTTGAGTAAGAATAAGAATCACTTCATCCGGTACTTAGCGTCTTTCATTCCAACATAAGAAAACATTTCTGGAATCTGCATCGGAAATAGCATTTAGATGTATTTACACAGTTTAATATATCTCAGAGGAGACATGAATGCATTTAACCTGCAGTTACAGTTGCATTAATAATGTTTTGTTTTTAACATAAAATGTTGAATACTGTTATTTGAAATTATTTAAAACATGAAACAAATAGTCAAAATGATCAATCAAGTGACTGTTAATGAGTGAGTCATTGAGATTCAACCGATTCGTTCGTTCAAACTGCTGATTCATTCAGGTACAAAGTATTTGGCTGTTTCTCAATTCCAAGAACACAAGGAATGGACTTGCTTTCTCGTGGAGTCTTGCCAGTCTTGCCAATCTTCCTTGGAAGAACAAACTCGGAAGGACGCGAGGACACAGAACGCACCCTTATGAGAATTGAGATGTGCTGCGTTCTTGATTAACTGATCGCAGTCACAGCATAAGCAGCGGCCAGTGAACCATAAATATAGCATAACATTACAAATATCATAACTTATTAACATTTCATACTATTATAGAAATTATTTACATATAATTGTATATAGTTTTATTTTACAGCGTTATATGTTTAACTATGACTATGTTAAGATTCATTTTAATATGCCAATAAAAATACTGCAGACTTTCTCCGGGTCTTATCAATTTATTAAAATTAAGCAAAACAAAACCATAAATGTTTACTTTCAAGAGCTGTCAAGTATTTGCGAGAGCGAGTTTCAAGCTTGCAGGCTTCCGTACACCGGCCGCCTGCAGCGTCTTCTGGGATTTCTAACAGCTCGATTCTCTCAAGTCTGCACTCCATGCACCCTCGATATCAAGAACACATCCGGGAAATTTCATGAGTCCTCTGTACTTGCGTTCTTGAGAACTGGAATTGAACTTCGACGGTTAATGATGACGTAGGGCGAGAACACAAGGATGCAAGATCGCTGAAGTACGCATATTGAGAAACGGCCTTTAACTGTGTTAATGAGTGAATCACTGGATCATTTATTCAACCGATTCGTTCAAAAAGCTAAATCATTCAATAAGTAAACACTGTGACACAAAACAGTGCTATGATCTTTGTTTGGAACTATTTTCGTTGGCAAAATTGAGCAAAAACAAGCAATATTATGTCTAAAATGTAAGTCACTTATTGCTAACTTGACTGAACTAGTATAAAATGATTATTATATTTGTTATCATGCTAATATCTGCAGAAAAACGGTACTCTTTGTGTGATATAAATGAAGTTAACTATATTAAATAATATAAATATAAAAAGCATACAGAAGCATTTTTGCCATCTACAATTTAGAATGCCTTGAATTTTGAGTTTTAATAGACTAATAAAATCACGTGCATGCACTCTGTGTGTGTGATTTGGCGATAGATAATGTCAGATCGCACATCACAACACTTACCATATTATCGTAGAAGATATAATGTATATCGCAGATCACAGACTCGACTTGAGTGGAAAATGAATCATCCGCGGTTGTGCGCACACTTGTTTGCACATAAGCAATGGTGTTTTTTAGGAGTCTAACTTGCAGACGCCAGACTACTGATTCGTCAAACCTGCTTTCCTGCAGTCTGTGTTTTTCTGACTTCTGACTATTTTGTAGTAAGTAA